GTTCTGTGCAAGTGAAAAGCAGAACTCTCCTTTTATCGCAGGAGATTTTCTTTTAAAGCTCACATTCTGGGTTTTTTTTTGTAAGTAATGACACTAACAGATACTGGAATCCTGACCCACGCTGGCATCTTGTTTTAGGTCTGTCTATGATGGAGAGGAACACGGTCGTTTCATGGAAAAATTGGAAGCGCGAATCAGAAACCATGATCGCGAGATTGAAAAAATGTGCAACTTCCATTACCAGGGCTTTGTGGATTCCATCACGGAGCTGCTGAAAGTTAGGGGTGAAGCTCAAAAACTGAAGGTAAGAGAAACCAAGTGAATGTCTCCCTTTGTCCAGAGCATTTCTCTTCCATCTTAAAACAGAACAAACAATCAAGCCCCCCCCCGCCCACCCCAAATTGCTCCATGGAGTAGTAGGTTAGTCATTTCCAGTTTAACAATTATTTTGGCAAACTGACATGCTGTGGTACTTTAGAAGCAGAAGAAATATTAAGGCTAGGCCTGTTTTACATTCGGAGACATGCTTTTCCTGGTGTACCTTATACTGATTTCTTGAGCGAAAATATGCTGTACAGTCAAAAGCACATCTGCTGCTACAGCGGCATCTGATCCAGTGCCCATTCTGGTGTGCAGAACTATCTGTAATGGGAATTGTGAGTCAGAGCAGGAGAAATTTCTGATGCACATCTGATCTTAATCACCAGGTACCTGCCCAATGTCGGCACGTGAAACTTTAATATTAAAAAAGCAAATTACATTCGGAGCATTTTGAGTTCAGAGTAAGAAGGAACTGTCATTAAAGATAAATAAGGATGCTTGGACACCAGCTTGTAAATGAATGCATAACTTGTTTCTTTGAGTAGCATCTCCAGTTTTGGTTGCCTTAACTAGAGGGTAAAATGGTTAGAGCTAGGGATGGGTTTTCCAAGTACTTTAGTAGTAGCCTTTAAAGCTGTGCAGAAAGATGGGAGGAAGATAAGGAGAAGTGGAATTTTCCTATTTCTTTAAAAAACAATTGTGCTCAGTGTGGATGGGGAAAAGCCATTTGTAGGAGCAGGGTGTAGATAAGCAGCGGGAAGGAAACCAGTCAGCATCCTGGAGAGAAGCAGCAGCTGGATACTGGAGGTTTTTCTACCTGTAGGGGCCAGGTGGGCTTGCAAGTTAAGTTTGGATGTTGTGCCTTAAAATATGAGTATTAATGATTTGGGGCATATTTAAAAACATAGCAACGACTTAATCAGTGAGCTTTAGAGGTTGGAGAACCATCCTCCTTTTCTTGCAGAAGTTAGAACAGAGGAAGGGAAGACTGTGTGCCTTTTCCGTTCCTGAACTGGATTCTCGGCAAGCCTCAACAACAAGATGTGACAACACCCCCCCCCCCCCCCCCGCAAGCAACCAGCAACAAAACGAGTTGCTTAGTGAATGGGTCTGAATTGCATGGCATCCGAATAGGTGCGATGTGTCCAGGGAGCAGTATAGCTGGTCTTACTAACTAGATAGAGTGTGACCTTTTGAGAAGAACCTTTTCGGAAGTGGGTCTAGAAGTGTGGGGGACCGTTCAATGAGAATTGGAGGGAATTAAGTCATAAATAGGGGAAAAAGTCTCAGAAAACCAAGTTTTCTGGAGAAGAACTAAGAGCTCTAGCTTAGCTATGCTGACTGTTGCTTTTTTTTTTTTTTTTTTTTTTTTTTTTTTTTTTTTTTAAGTTAACCCTGGCATTTTCAAGCAGACTTCTAGTTTCCAACACTGGTCTTAATCCCACAAACCGAAGCGTGTGTGCAGGAGCACCTTCTTTGTGTGGGGTTTCCTGACATCAGAAGGAACTATACTGCAATGGCTTTTTCCAAGGCAAGGATTCATCCAGCGGTTGATTGCAGGATGAGGCCATTGGAAATACCATGAAAGGAATCCACTTTTTTTAAAGCTATTATTTCTAGCCAGGAGTTCCGCATTGTTTGTTTGTAAAGGCTTGTTGCTGTTTCCCATTCTACAAACAGCTACTTTGTTGGTGGCACACTGTGAAGTCCATCTCTGTACCCTCAGGATCTCTCTTGATTTCCATAACTATGCGATCTGTAAAATGGCACATGGGAAAAATATACACAGAATTTTATTTGAGAAATATTGAATCCCCTTTGTAAGGGTTTCCCGAGAGAATCATCTGTGGGTCCAGTGATGAGTGTGTGTTTTGTTCCAGCTATTCATTCTGTATTTGATCTTGGCCTTTTTCTCAATAGCGCTGGTCTTTGAACATGCTTGCAACCGAGTATAAAATAAACGCCCTCCGTAATGCATCTCTGGCGTGCATCTTCGGTTACGTGCTTTTAGCTTGGGGACGTTCTGTATAATACCGCACTTGTAGAATTATCGGCTTCATTGTTTTAAGAACGCGCATGCTGAACGTGAGCTACGTGTGTCGTCTTCACCCATCCCTATGTGATACGGTGTTACGGTACAGAGGGAAGAGGACAGCTATAGTTCAGGTGGCCCCAATTTATGCTGAAATCTGATCAGAACTGTATCCGTGTCAGAACTGTGAACTTTCTGTGTTTAAACTTTCAATCGTTCTTGGACTACTCAGGGCTAGTACAGAATTGGGAAGTTCTTGCTCAGAAGTGAGCTCCGCAGTAATGAATTTCTGCACTAGAAACCTTGTGTTTCTTTCGAGGCCCACTGGGTCATTGGTTTATAATCTACGTGTTGACAAAAAAGTAAGTTAATTGGAAATACGTAGGATGTTTTCAGAGAGGCATCTCCTTAGTTTAGGTGATTTTAAACCATATTTTATTTAACTAAAACCTTTTCTTGCATTTGTATTTGCAAATGCATTTGCATTTTTAACTGTATAGTTTCACTAACACATTTCTCCTTTAACTGATTCCGGGGGTCCAAAGGAAAATCTTGCTGCCTTTTTTAAATGTTGTACATCTTGAATATTCTCAAGTCTTGTACTGCACAGACTTTCTTCCTTATTAGGAAACGCATAGTGTGAGGATGAGTTGTTCTCATTCTGCAGATTCCCAGTACCCCTACATCTTGACAATCGTGTACCACTGTAGTTATTCCGTCCCATAAAAGTTTTTGTAGGAACGGAAAGATACAGAGAGAGATCATACATTAGGATTGTGCATTTTGGAAAACATGATTCAAGGTGGGGAAGGGAAAGGACCACAGAATCGCGGGACCGGTGGCAAACTCGAGGAAGCAGCTAGTCCATATCTTTTCTCTAAGGCAAGTTCTGTGTCAGCCATGTCATTGCTTAAAGACTTTTAACGTTAGACCAGGTTAGATAACATTCCCCTAGGCATTGCTATCCCTCCTGCTTTAGGAAATTCAAGTTAGAGAGTTGAAGACATTTTTTTTTCTTTTTTTGCTACCATTTAGCTCTACTAGTTTTCTCCTACTAGTCATGGTCACAAGAGATACTATTTCTTCTTCTTTCTGAGGCAGCCTTCTACGCTTTGGAGGTTGTTGTAGTGGCATTCTCCAATCTTGTCCTCTGTAAGGTGAGTAGCTGCAATCGATCTGAGAGGGTTGTGCTTTCTAGGCCTCATTTTTATCTTTCCTTCTCTGAAGCCTTTCCAACTGGTAGGTTTTGGAGTGTTTTTTAAACATTGGTTGCTGACCTGGGGCAGGTAATCAATCACCAGTGAAATGGAGGAGAAGAGCTATTTCAGGGGTGTTGTACATACTGGTGTGATGCTTGCCTTTTTAGTAACAGCGCAGCTGGCTGTTTTTCACTTTGATTTATTGTGATCACTGGGTCCTTTTCCAAAGAGCCGCTGTCTAGTCATTTGTCCTGTTTTGTGTGGCTGATTATTTCTGACCAAGTTTAGCACTTCACACCCGCTACTATTGAATGGCAAATAATAGAAGGTCTCTTCTTTGCAAAGACACTTGCAGTTCTAATCCACTCTTCCAGCAGTCTTGCTGCCTTCGTGCTCGAAGTCATAAGGTCTGTGAAGTTAGGAGCAGGGGAGAGAAAATGAGGTAATTTTCACTACTTGCTGCGTTCAGATTAAGGTGGGTCTAATGAAACCGTGGCAGCTGGCTTAAAGTGAAGGGAAGCTCGCTTTCGCCCACGCAAAACCCAACTCAGACCTCACTGCCGCAGCATGCAGGGACGGCCTGAAACTATGACGGCCGCGCGGCGAGTTCCCGTAGGGATTCGATCAGTGAGTGGGGAACGGCTGCCATGGTGGGTAACTAACCCAACCCAGCGTGTTGGGTGCAGCCCCTGATCGGGAAGTTCCTGAATTGCTAGCTTGAAGGACCTTCTCTTGGATGCAGGGTGGAGGCGGATGGCCACGATGCCCTTCGGATCCGTTCCCAGGGTCCTCTCCACTGCCCTTTGCTCTTCTCCCTTGTCGCTCTGCCCCTCTCTAAATGATAACAACAGTAACACGTAGGTGCCCCCGACACCCCCGCTCGATACCACGTTTTTGGTGCGTAGAGGAACGGACTGGCAGCTGGAGCACCCTGCAAGCCCCGCTCGATTGCCTGCCGCGCTCTTGGCGCATGCCCGCCTGCTGTCTGTCCTCCCCTTGCTGTGCGTCTGTCTTGGATTATAAAATCTCCTCCTCTGACAAGCTTCCTTGTGCCTACAGAGAGGCTATATAAATAATGATCCATTTTTTTCACTATATGGATGTAGATCTTAAGAACAAAACAAAACACTACCCCTCGCCCCCCTGAAATGCTCAGTGTGCAAGGGCAGGATATAATCTTACTTTTTGCCTTAGCTGGGATTGATATGTAATTTTAATAGAAGACTAGTACAGCCTTGGCATTATTTTAGGAGCAGTTTTAAATTACCTTACATGGATTCCTCTTTCCTGGTGGGATTTTCAGGATATAAGAAAATAAAATAATCTTTGGAAGAGATGCTGTGCTCCTGCTTGTAAAATCTCAATACATCATAGAGGAAATGAGCAGTTTTTGCACGAGGCAAGCAGCCAGGAGAGCTGAAGCTACTGCAGAAGGGGGAGCAATGTGATGCAGATGCTGCAGTAAAATTGTGTGTGGGGAGATCAGGAGGTGAATCCTCGTCTTACATCGTGGCAAACTAATAAGCAGCATGGCCGGTATTGAAAATAAAAAGAAACTTGTGAGGCTGGATGGCTGTGCTTATTGAAGCTATGCCGTATATATTAATGTATAAAAATGATATTAATATACTACTCCCCTCCTATTTGAAGTGCGTTCCTTGTGGCCCACTCAAAAAGAGAGATAGCGATGGCTGTTGTCTTCTGAAACCACCTTGGAGCTGGCAGCTTGTCCTGCTTTGCTGTGCTGTTGCAGCTGCTCTGTGCACCATCCATAATCCTCTGGCTAACAGGCGAAACACCATTTCCTAGATACCCAGTGACATTCCTTAGCTAGTGATAAATTCATTGAAAAATCACAGCTGCGCTGCTTTGGTAGCAGCAAAGGTGTCAGCTGGATGCTGGCTGGAACATTTCTGCAGGGAAAAGTCAGGACGATTTGGAAGGCTTTATGGGCTCTCCGACTGCAAACAAAGGTTATAAGATCACACAAACCGGCTTATGTTCTTCAGTACGTTGTGAGTGCTCCTTAATGCAGCTCGTGCTGTGGTCCAAGCTCTGCTGTTGATTTGGTGTCTAGAACGAGCAGATCTCCCGCAAATGCGCCTGAGCCAGTTCACGCACGGTGCTGACGCCACTTCAAATCCAGCAGCAGCTTCCGCGGTGCAGCAGGCCTGATGAGCAAAGCTGGCAACCGGCGAGATGGCTTGCAAAGATGGGCCTGGGAGTGAAATCTGCAATTTTAATAGCTGTGAAACAAGTCTTCTGTTTAAAAAAAAAAAAAAAAAAAAAAAAAAAGTGACAGGCCAGTCTCAGAGTTGTTTCCTCCGTTCCCGTTTACCTCTAACTGTTCCCAGGCTATAAACTACATCTTTCTCTCTCCTTCCACCAGCGTCCCCTGTACGCCACCGGCTCTGCCTCCCTTGGCTTGCAGAAGTGCCCAAGCCCTGAGCAGTGCTCCTCTGTTGGGATTTAGCTTCTTTGTTGGTATAACTGACTGCTTTTGTTCAAGATTTGAAGCTGGGCATGTTGGTGTAATTTTTTTTTGGCTGTACCAGCTGGTCCGTAAAAGGTATTATCCCTATGTACAAACCTTCCCCTGTCTAAACTTGAGTGAGCATTCAGGAGAATGCCCAAAGTTGTCTTTCTTTTCTTTAAGTCTGAGAGGAAATATTTGAACTTTATAGGTAAAGTGCGCATTGAAGACTTTTTCTTGCTGTGATATTAAGGATTTAAAACCTAATTATAATTTATTTGGTGTTGGGGAGGGGAAATTTCATTCCATGAGACTTATGTCTTAACCTCTACCACGGATGTAAGATAACTTTTTAAGGTGAGAATCCATGTGAGCACGTGCTACAAAATTAGGTCCATTGCGACTACAGCTTTTTGAGGCTGCCGTGCAGTAGCGTTAACCCTTGTTGCCTTCTGCTTCTCTGTAATAACAGGCAAGAAAATCCTCTCGTGGTACCCTCCGTATTTGCTAGGCTGCTGTTAACATCCTTTAGTGTGTCAGAGTGGTGATGGCAATTAAATTAGCTAATCAAATTTTCTTATGCTATGCAAGACAACCCTGTGTGAAAAGTGGTGGCATTCACTTTTTTTTTTTTTAATGGACAACGTTGTATTGATTTACACGTAGATATGCTCTTTCTCTCCTTTCCCCCCCCCGCATCCCGACAGAATCAAGTGACGGACACCAACCGAAAACTGCAGAATGAAGGAAAAGAAGTAAGTGCTGCATTCATTCTTCCATCTCCCTTTTGCTTTTTCATGCTTTGGCTGTGCTAGCTAGTAGTGAATTACACCGAGCTTCAGCACTTCTAATTGGTCCCCCTTACTGATAATGGACGTGATATTGGTATTAAAATGTATAATAATTCTTTGCTGTGTCTTACCTTTCTACGTGAAACGTGAGCTGTGTGAAAGAGTTTGGAAGTGATTTTTCTCTTTTTTTACAGCCTGTGGATTAAAAGCTAGTGGAAAGCAAACCCTGGAAAGTAAGAGAGACTTGAAGCAGCAATAATGAAGCTGTGGCCTTGGTGCCTCCACCCTGAGTGGGTGAATGTGATTGTTTGTGACAGTATAAGCTGCAGAGTCGGGTGCTGGCTTCGCAGTGCAGTATGGCAGCAATTAAAGCCAGTGTGGTTTTTGAGCTGCATGGGTAGAGGCATCAAGGCATGGAGGAAGGAAATGATTGAATGTCTTGGGTCCGATTTGCCTCTGACCACATTCATTTCATCCTAATGGAATATTAATGCACTGGAGGGACTTCAGAGATGGGTGACAGGGCTGAGTACTCAGTGATGGCACCGATGTTTGAAGTTTTGTGAGTGCCTAACATGTAGATGTGTGAGAGCTCCCAGAGGAGGTCTTTTCTCCCGTCTTTTTCATTTCCTCCTTATGAGCCTCGTTGCTTGACCCGTATTCCATATAAATCTTCTACTCTTCACGCCTTTTCCATTTTCCTTCTTAACTACCCTCCCAGACGCCCAGACCTCATTTTACTGAGAGTATGTGCAACCATTACTCTTTACAGAGCGGCACTGCAGTCAACAATCAAACAAGAAAATATCTGTGTTGGACGGGATCAGACTGATTTTTATCTTTCATCTTCATTAGAATAGCACCCTTCAGGGAGGAGGGGGTAGCAAAACATACCACTATGTTACCTTGAATGGAGGATTCACCTCCAAAAGTAGAAGAGCCTGGCATTTCAAAAGGACTTTGCAAACTCAGTCTGGTAATAGTGTAAAACATGTGGATAGTGTGGAAATAAGTCAGTAGTCTAAAGGACAAAACTCTGAATGGGCCCTTTCGAACAGTGAAACTGAAGAATTTTCTTTTGTATGTGGTGGCTGATCCTTGTTTTGCCCTTATCCAGATGTACAGGTTTTTCTATCGAAGACTGAGGATTCAAAAATCATTGTAGGTTTATGAGGGTAAGAATTCCTCTGGGAATGAATGGCCACATCCTGTCTTTTAGAAGAACTAGAAAAGAGAAGCTTGAAGAAGGAGTAGGAAAAAAGATGAATAAAATGGGAAGGGGAAATCACTTTTGGAATTCACAGGACGTGCTGCGAGGCTGGTATTTGATGGCTTTGGTTTTGCTGCTTGCTTGCTTGCTTTAAATTAGACTAGAAAATGCTTCTGCTACTTGATCAAACAACCCGAAACTGCCTGTGCTGCCTATTTAAGCAATGCTTTGCAATGTGCAGCGAGCTTTGCAGTTATCAGAGGCGGCTTTGTTGTCAATCTACTGCTTGGATGTTCTTGACAAGTGCCAAGTAGTTTATATACTGTCTGCTCTGTTATTTACTATTCTTAGTGTAATTTTTTTTTTCATTTCCAAAGTTGATAATAGCAATGGAAGAGCTGAAGCAATGTCGATTACAACAGAGAAATATCTCGGCGACGGTTGATAAGCTGACACTCTGTCTTCCTGGTGAGGAATCTGAAATTGCTCTTTATTTGTACAGCTGTCTATTTTAATTCAGATCTCTTTGCTTTATGCTTCTGTCTCAACACTTGTGTGTTTTTGTTCTCTTTCCAGTCCTGGAGATGTACAGCAAACTGCGAGACCAAATGAAATCTAAAAGGTAAATTTTATATAGAGTGATGTTTGTGTTGGAAGCATTGAAAAGCACCCGTTTGGTGTTAGTTTAACTAAACAAAGAGGTTCTCAAAACTTAGGACTTCGAAATTGGCCTTTCCGAGATAAGTTATCTGATTTTTGGCCGGAATCTTCGCAGTACAGCTCAGCCTCCTGAGGTACAAAGTAGAACTGGGATTGCAACAGCCTCGGATTTCTTGTTGTGTTAGGCTTTTTAATTAAGATGGATGTTCACTTTTTTCATGAAAGCTCACCTCTGTGATGGACTTTGGACTTCCCAAATCAATGCGTGGCTCTCAGTACTTCTGCATTACTAACTACATTTCGTCCTAGGAATGTCATAATAGAAAAACTGATATACTCTGAGAGAATCCAGCGTGAATGGAAGCCAAAGGCCTGTGAAGTGTTGTGCGGGATGGTAGGAGAAGCTGATGAGCAGGCATGCGGCTTATTTTGTGGTGGAATTAATTGTCGTTCAGAAGAGTGAGCTGAGTTAAAGGACTTTGTGGCTCAGAAATCATGAGCTGTAAATCCCAGATTTTCCCCACTCTGTATTTTTTGTATTCCTTGAGAATTAAACGAGGGGCCAGGGTGTTTACAGGGCTGGGCTTCTGGGGGAGTATTTGTTTAAGCAGCATGGGAGTTCGGAGCAGCGCTGTAGCCCTGGGGTTGGCGAACTGGGCAAAGAGCACCCGGGAGAACGAGGTCGGCTTAAAACGTAGCAGGACCCAGCTGAACGCCAGGCAGGCAGCACCATCCGACTTGATGCCTCTTTTGTGCCTGCCATCCGTCACATAAACAACGCAGAACAAAGCGGATGTCTTGCACAGGGTGATAACTGATTGGATAGAAGTATCTTACGCTTCCTCTCCCACCTCTGCTGATCTTTGTGGTCCTTGGTCCCAGAAGCCTTGGATAAACAGATGAGCGTTGCCCGTGAAAGTTGGGCTGGCCAGAGGAATTATGGAGAGCTCGTTTAGGTGTTCACAACGCTCTCCGTTCCTTTCTCCGAACGCCTGAGTACAGAATGAGGCAGCGCCGAGTTTGTCCAACTGTGCTTAGTCTGTAGGAGCGGTGAGGGGCTTATCCGCTGACAGATGTGGGGTGGGGAGCTGGAGCTGATCAGGGCTGTGAACTTCTGAAGGGAATTCACATGCCATTCGAGTCCCTCTTTCTGGATCATGTTTCCAGGGCCTGGTTCTAGGAATTGCATCTTTCTTCCCCCCTCCCCGGTCCTGGGTTGGTTCGTTTAAAAACAAAAAAGTTGAAAGCCACCTTTAACAAGAATCTGAACCCTTGGCTTTTCTTTCTTTCTTTTTTTTTTCCCCCTTTCTCTTTGTCTTGATTTGATGGCTTCATTCACCAAGCACAGCACAACATATTGAATATTTTTGTGTCTGCACCCGGTCTCACTTATATATCATTTCACGATAGCCAGCCAGGGGGTCGGTTACTAGTGTAAGTCTCAGGTTTTGAGTACCCAGTCTCACTGGAGTAATCGGTTTTACATGCTGGCCGAATAAACTCGGCTCTTTCGAGGTAGACAAAATGAATTACGTGCTGTTTGCTGTGTGATGTTTATGAAATGAACGCAGGCGTTTGCCAAATACAGAACCTGCGGCTGTTAACCTGAGCTGGAGACGGGGAGCGAGGCACAGGCCAAACCCCGACGAGCGGCTGCGCAACCTGCAGAGAGGAGAGATGGAGAGACGCGGTTCCTCGTCCGTTGTCCGAAGTGTAAGGAAGCGACAGGAAGAGCTGTTTGCCCCGATGGTTGGGGCGCGCGAGGCTGCTCGTTGGCAAGTGATGAGAAGAAGCTCTGCCAGACCCTGGGAGGAGGGAGGGAGGGAGGGAGGTAGGAGGGAGACAGCTCCGTGTGGGAGCCTGTCAGCGAGCAAGTAATGAATCCCGCTGACAGACGGATGCGAGAGCTCCAGCCCGGCGCGAAAGCCTGCCCGCTTCGGCGAGCCTCCGGAGGGGTCCCTCCCTTCCGCCCTTGGGGCGCTTGTCACATCCGTAGTCTCCAGGCAGTGAGAAACGAGGATGTTTT